TACACTTCCTATTTTGTTTTTTGTCTATATAACAGCTGTATCTGATGTACAGGTTTTTGAATTACTACTCACCGCTTGCGTTTTCTGTAAGCAACTGTCCCCCCAGCAGCAAGGCAAATAAGTCCAACAATTGGTACCAAGGTGGCCAGATACAGACTCTGGTTTCTGTCATCAGGCATCGTAGGCAAGTTACTTGCTGTGATCGCTAATAAATGACATTAGGTTAGCTATTTTAAATATTTTAACATGACCATAGGTTTCAGAAACACATACCGAGTTATCAAAGTAAGGTTAAAAAAAAAAACATACTTGTTGAGACGTCCACTGTGGTATCTGTGTCTGGTGGATATGTGGGATTTAAGGTACCTGTGAAAAAAGACCCTTTTTGAACATTTGGAGGAATGATAATCTGTGCGACTGCAAAATAAAATAGTAAAATAATTTAAAATGTAACAAAAAATATTCAATTTGCTTAAGAAAGTATTTGAAAAGAAAATAAACCAACTTGAATTCACGCCGGCAATGTAAAAAGACACCAACTCATTTGTCTTTATAAAGCTGTAGTTGTTGTTCAGTCCCCAAACCCGCAGGTAGATCTGCGGTTCATTTTGTGTTATATTATTGATCTGTAGAGAGCAGTTTCCTTCAGTTTTATTTCCAATAAGTTTTGTCCTGTTGCTGAACTGCGAGTCTACACATGTGTGATTTGGATGAAATACGAAAGCACGTTTGTCGTTGTCTGTCTTGTCACATTTAGCTATCCCATTTGTATTCCAGATTTTCCAGTAAATTGTAACATTTGAAGTGTGTTGAGCTTTAGGATAGGTGAAAGAACAATTGATGGTTACGGTTCCTCCCTTAACTGTTGGTATGCGATTATTTGTTATTGTTATTGTCCACTTGTCACCTGTGTTTTAAAAATAAATAAAAAACACATTATTAATAATAAATACACGGCGCTTCCCCCTAAGAAAACATCAAACCTTTTGAACATATACTTTACAAACCTTCAGCCAGTGAAAGTGGCAACCACAATAGATTGAGATAAAATAGGATTTGCAGCTGCATCTGATTAAAAAAATAAAATAAGATCACACACCTTTAAAATCCCCTCTTTTACAGTAAAACCTAAGAAAAATCTTGAGTAAAATTTTAGTTTTATATATCTAATACTCACTTTGAAAATAACACAGAGGATGTTCGGCTGGTTGATTCTTCTTTGAGTCTATGTTACATCTAAGTACTGATGTGATAACTCTTGGTTGAGTTTCCTGTTACATAGTTGGGCAATAGGTGAAAAAGGGAAGGCAGTAAGGGCAAAAAAGTGACTGTAGCCACCCAAGAAATACATGTTGTGATAAAAATAACTTGGATAGCTAGTTCTTTAAACTGCTTAGCTGACTTTAAAGAAGTAAGCTACTCTGTAACCATGAAAATATTTTAAATACATTTGAATAAATTGCTATATCAATAAAACATATTTAAAAAATAAACATTAAAGAAAGTAGAACTCTATCATATATTGACAGAGGAAGTCACAGTATTTCAAGCTTTCATTTTAAATGAATTTGATGAGTCCGGCATACAGCGAAGAGCAATCAAAATATTATGTATGAGCAAGAAAAAAAAATTTTTTTTTAATACAATCTATCTTATCTTCTGAGAAGTAGGTCCATAACCCATACTGAGCAACACATAGACTCTATTCTTGCTTAGTGCTTATTTTAGATGAGTTACAGCTGCAGTGAAGTGTGGCACGGAAGAGATCAGCAGGTGTCATTTGTGAGGAGTTCAGGAACTAGCCTTATTATATATATATTTGGTTCTCATCTCCTTCAGCACAATACTATAAAAACATCTCTATTGGGTTTAGAAAAGGTAGTTTGCTGGTACCATGAAGATGAAACAGGTACTGGTACTTTTACCAGTGTCAGTAGGTGATGTGGCATAGAAATCCATTCAGTTTGTCCACATCTAGTGAAAACTAGTGTGATTGGATGAGTCATATAACACAAACACTCATTGGTTAGCTAAAGGGAGTCATCAGAAGCAAGCAGGTGTTTTTGAAACTGCAAACGTGAAAAGATGATGAAATGTCTGAAAGCTCGGACACAGGCGAGAGCGTATCGGGAGACGTAGACCAACAAGACCTCCCTCATCCTTGGCCCTATCTCAAAGAATTTTTCAAAATAGTCTAAAAATAGAGCTTTCAATTCATATATTGGCATCTGGCTGTTTTTTTAAAGGTTACTTTATGCTTTTACACTTTAAATAGTTTTTGGAGCACATACTTTTTCCCTTTTACTTGAGTAAAAAGGTCAAGTTGATACTTCAACCTTTACCAGAGTGTTTTTAAACTGCAGCATCTGTATGTCTACTTATATAACAAATGTGTATACTTTTGACACCACTGCAAACCGGTAGGTGGCAGTAGTGTTCTTTGACAAATAATGGATGTCTCCAGTAAAGCACATTTAAATGAAATTAATCTTAATTAAAACACAAATTTATTGAAAAGTATGTAACAATTTCTTTGTTAAAGTACTTTCAGAAGTTTGTATTCTGAATGTGACCAGAGTTTTACTTTAAATGACCAAGCTCCATCTTACAACAGAGATATGATTGTTCCTTAGGTTCCAAACAAAGCACTTTGCTCTCAGTCTGCGGGTTTAGAATCAGAATCAGGTTTATTGCCAAGTAGGTTTGCACATACAAGGAATTTGACTTGGTGTTGATGGTTCAGACAATCTAGATATATATACTGAATACATAATTTATAGCTATATTATACAATATAAAACATACATATAATATATGCAATATATAGTATATAGCTATATACTATATACACAGTGGACTGTGCATTAATTTAATGCAGAAGGCCTGGAGATGCTATGTTGGTGTAGCTTATAGGTCCTGAAAGAGGGAAGTGAGAGAGGCAGTGTCAGTGAGACAGGGGTCTCTGGGCCTTGTTGATAAGTCTAGTAGTGGTTGGGAAGAAACTGTTCTTGTGACGTGAGGTCTCGGTCCTGATGGATTGCAGCCACCTGTTTACTAGTGGTTCCTAGAATTTCTAAAAGTATAATGGGAGGCAGATCTTTTAGTTATCAGGCTCCTCTCCTGTGGAAACAACTACCAGTTTTAGTCCGTGAGGCAGACACCCTGTCTACTTTTATGGCAAGGTTTGTCGCTTTCCTTTTTTTTAAAGCTTATAGAGTGGCTCAGGTTATTCTGAGTTATATCTGTAGTTATGCTGCTATCGGCTTAGACTGCTTCATTCTAGATTTCATTCTTTCTCTGTTCTCCCACTCTGCAGAAAGTGTTAGTTCAATCTCTAACATTATGCTCTCTCTGCTTTTTCTCATAGTAGCTTCATCTGGTCTGATCCTGTTTTGATGTGACGCCATCCTGGAGAGAAATATCAGCTGTGCTGCTGCCATCAACACCTTTATTTATAGCTGTTCAAGCTTGGCCTGTTTTTCAGTGTCGTCCTGTTTCTCTGACTGTGACTGGATGGATGTTCTCTCTTCGTCTTCCTCTTTCCTGGACAGGGCCGTCTGTGGAGCTGGTTGACACTTGCCTTTTGTATCTCTATATCTTGTAAGATATAGAGAAGCTCTTAAATGGCTGACTCGTGCTGCAGTTCACGTCCTTTGAGTTAATTTCGCTTCACAGTTCTCTCAAAACTACTGTTATGGCTGTTGATTTTCCACAGCACTCTTCACCATTGTGTAGATCATGGCAAGTGACTAAATCTTATTTTATGAATCGTGTTTGAGGTTTCATTTGTTATGAATTGTAATCATTCTAACTAATTAAAAAAAAAACTATTTCTATATTTTCACTATTTTGAACTGAATTAAGTATTAAATATTTTTTTTAATCCATCAGATGCAAATTAATAACAGTTGAAATAATGGCTAGAGTTGTAAAATTTATTATGTTAAATGTCCAGTTGTATTTTCAGATTTAAAAACATTAAAAAAAGAAAAAGATACGACTCAAAGATTAAGATTCAAATACATTCAGGAATATTTAACAGTTGTTTAAACGTCTGACGAAATAATAGCATGTAAATGTTAAAATAACAAACAATCACACAGTGAACAATTTGAACTGAAATGCATGCTTAGTTATTTAGAAAATAAATGTTAACACAAAAATGCCATATAGATCTGTAAAGTGTGGAATCTACTCATGTTACCATATTGCCTTTCACTTTTTATTGTCATGATCGTGGCTATGAGAGCTGGTCTAATTGCTCACTTCATTCACCTGCTGAACGCTGCCTGGATTCCAATCTCCACTGATCTAATCCACCTGCTGCTGCTTCTATATATACACGACTCAGTCCGAGCTATTGGGGCCAGATCATTGTTTTGCTGAGTTCGACTTTAAGATAATTGCTGATGCCTTAGTTCATGTTCTCAGGAACCAGAGGTGAGAGAGGTTCTTAGTGTTTCGCAGAGTTCCTGATCATGTCCTGTCTGTTGTTCACTGAGTTTGCCCTGTTCCTATCTTGGTTCAGTGGAAAGAAGCGAGTTTTAGCCTACTGTAGTGTTCCTGATACCCTGCCTTGTTCTGCCTCTCAACTACTGACCTTGTCTGTTTCCATCTGAACGTTCAGCCTCAACTCTCTGCAGACTCCTGGAACCCTGGACCAGCATGTTCATGTTCTGATCGGGATCCCTGAGTTACAGACTCCTGGATCCCTGAGAATTCATGTTCTCAACTGTTTACCTGACCTGGATTCCAGCTTGTTCACTGGAGCTGCAGCATCTGGTTCACCCAGGCCAGCTCCTGCCACATCTCATAGGCAGCCCACAGGCTGGAGCCAACCTCGCTTTAAGGAGATGGACTGAACTGTTGAACCAGGTAAGGGACTTGCATTAATAACCATCCTTCATCAGATTATTATGGTCACTAACCTGTGGTTTTTCTCAACCAGAGTATCCAGTGACGGGTGGTGCTTGTTGAACTTTCCTACGATCTGTCTCTCCTTGAATATTGGGTCCTACTTTCTTTTTTTTCTTTTTTTTTTTGTTCATCTGAGAAAATGGCCAGTAACTCCTATTATGTTTGGTTTAGAAAAGTGGTATTTTAGGCTATTGAGGCATTCAGTCCATCTGCGGATGTTTGCTGAATCAATGAATCTGTGATATACCTCATAGTCTTTTTCAAAAAGCTGAAAACCTGTATTTAGCTTGATTAGTTACACTTGGCTAGTAAGACAGATGAGTCATCAGCCTAGCCTTCTCCTCCTTAGCTTCAGGTGCAGGTAGTAGAATGAGAGCGCTTGATATGGGACAGACCACCACAGCCAGGTGAAAGCTTTAACATAATTTGCTTTCCTCTTGGAATTAGTCTGTAAAAAAAAATATGTTCTGCTAGATGAACACGTGTTGGTACACTTTATGTTTTGCCATGTATACAGTTTTTCTGTGATGGACTGAACAGTGCTTCATATGATCTTTAAAGTGCTTATAATTTAGGTCTTAAACTTTATCAGAGCTTTTCACAACTAGGAGGATTTGTTTAATAAAACTTATTTACTAATAATAAAAGTGGAGAAACCTTTCAGACGCAATAGTTTTCAGATTTAAAACAATTTCCCCCTACTTTCTTTCAATCCAGTAATTCACTATTTTTTTTTTTTTTTATAGATAAAATCTAAGTAAGCGTTAAGGTAATATTTTCATGTTGATTTTATGCAAAGGGTTATCCTGAAAAAGACCGCTTCAGACTCTTCCAGTGTTTTCAAACTTTCTAATGCAGCTCAGCCCCTGTGTTGGCCTCCTTTAGTTTAACTGTTTAAGTAAATATGTAATATTCCACTGACCTTTAAATCATGTAAACAGTCTCACATAAAACAAATCATGTCTATGCTTTTATATTTGTAACATTAAACATTTACAGCAGCACAGCTATATGCAACTGGTTGGATCTTATCCTATAAACTCATAACATGTAGGCAAAGTAGGCAAACGGGCATACAAAAATATAAATAGTTTCGTTTTTGCTGTAAAAAAAACTGTTGCACAATACGTTGTTTCAATTATACTTATTATTGGTATCCTACTAATATGGTAAATTAAACTTATATTAAGCATCATGTTTGCCAATGTTGACGTATTAGTGTAATTACTCTACACCACCACTAGATGGGGTTAGTGGAACGTTCACCTTACTCCGCAGTGAACTTTGGATCATAGGAGGGACTCCACCTGGAATGTGGGTTAAACTTTAAAGGTACAGTCATATGACTTCTAATTGCAAGAATGGAAGAAAAACAGCAGAAGTACTTCTTGGGGATAATTCTGGTGTTTTTGTGATCTGGATCTTCCTGGTGGGGGAGCGTAGGCACGGCCGATTTCTGCTATAACCCCCTCAGATAAGAAGGATGTTTGAAGTATTATTGACTTTGGACACAGCAAACCTTTAGGTGTGATCGCTAAATCTGCACACAAGCATGGAAGAGAGTCCCAACGGGAAGCCTGGGCTGCAGGCGGAGGGGCGCTGTCGGAGGCGGGTGGCAGCAGTGAGCGCTCCCGCTTTGTCCGCCTGTCGGCTTACCTTAGCCGGGGTCATGGACGCAGAAGGGAGGGTTGATGAGTCAAGGCTGAGGGGCCACATCTTCAGAAACGGTCGGTCACTATAAATATTATTAGTTTGGTTACAAATAGAAAAAAAAATCGCAGGTTTGAATCTACTTTGTTGGAAAGATGTTTAGGGTTGCAAGGATTCATATAATATAACACTGAATTTCAGTCTGAATTGTATCAACCAAACATTCATATAACTTATTTACATTAGGTTTAGCAAAGGCTTTTATATTTCAGAGTTAATCTGTTCTTTTTGCATCATTTAGATTTTGTCAGAGATTTGGCTTCTGATAAAGCATAAACATTTTACATTATAAATGTAAAAATTCTTGGGATCACCAACACACCAAATTATGGAACATATGTTTTTCTTAGGTGTCTTTGCTCCATTTTGAATAGATAAAGTGTCTCAAACCATTTAAGATTCACTTTTATTTCAATTCAGATTTTCTCGACCTAGCGTTTTTGTTTTTTATAAATGCTTTATAAAGCTGACTAGAGGAGCATGCATTTTAACGCCTAAATAATCAATGATGTATATAGCAGTAAAATACCAAATATGCATATAATAGTAAACAGTATACTTTCAAATCAGTATGCATCTTAGAAATCTTTTTTCCTGCTTTTAATTTTTCTGGCACATGGTGTGCTGTCTATATAAATGAACAAATATTAGCTTTCTTTAGGTTCACTGTGACCCTTTGATCGCAGCCAAGAGGAAGTCAAGTGATGCTTTGCTTCAGGCGTGTTAGCTGACTCACAATCAAACTATTCTTATCAAAAGTCTTAGATTTCTTTGTACGTACATCAGATTCCCCTCAGGAAAAGAAGCCCAGCATGATCACCATGATAAAACAATTTCTATGTATATTTAAAGAGTTTCTGACAAACATGGACTGAAGAATTTCTTCAGTCCATGTTTGTATGAGAAACATGGAGCAGCCACACGCTTCAGCTGAGGTTTCCTGTAATGAAGATTGTACGTTAGACCTTCTGTGTAAGTTGGACCAACTGGGCAACCTCAAAACTATTCATGGGGAAACAGATGGAAGACATGAGAGGCTGCTGGGTGCAACATCACATGCCTGTTAGGAGGAATGTCACAGCTTACCCTCCTTTTCTGAGGCCTCACTGACATTCCAGCTCTAACTCTAGATAAACGTGTTAATAAATGAACATGCATTAAGCAAGATATTATTTTATTTTTTTAATTGCAATCTTTCTTAAATTTAGCCAAAAAGGGACCCATGCTGCCTTTCTTGCATGTGGTCCTCTTAAGGCACAATTGAGGAAGCCAATAGCTTATCAGATGCTTTGTGACCATTCAAAATTAAACTAGTAATATTTAGCATAGTTCAACCATCCATACTTCCACAAATATGACTGATAGCTGTGCCAGTGTTAACTTCACAGATCTGCTACCATATTTCTACTCCAGAGTCAGTTTTTTTGCATCAGTTCCTCATATCAACCTATCGTGATGAGAAGGCAAGGCAAATTTATTTGTATAGCACAATTCAGTACAAAGACAATGCAAAGTGCTTTACATGATTAAAATACAGGAAGATAAAACAGAATCAAAGCAAGTAGGAAAAAATAAATAAAATAAAATAAAAAATGCAGAAAAAAAAGAATATTAAAAACAGTTGGACTAAAGAAAATATGTTTTAGTTGAACTGTTTAACTAGAACAGTCGAAGGCAATCCTAAACAAATGTGTTTTTAGTCTTGATTTAAAGGAACTCAGGCTTTCCGCACTTTTTTTTTGGAAGTTTGTTCCAGATAAGTGGAGCATAGGAACTAAATGCTGCTTCTCCATGAGAACGATGATATCGTGTAAGACCATCTTTCACTAGCGTTTTTGATACAGCTCTTAACCCACACCCATTTTCTGTATTGGATAATAATACAGAAAATGGCTGAAAAAACAAATGACCAAAAGTCTGAAATCTTTTGCAAAGATGATTTCCATCTAAAAAAATTAATAAAGCCATAACTTAGTGTGACCCAGAGATGTTATGTGCCCATAAAAAACAGCAAAAAACAGATATGGCAAAATAAATTAATTTACACCAAGGGTCTGTCCTAGTGTTCAGCTACAGTAACCCTTTTTGAGCCTAAAACAATCCGGGGACAATCAGCAGACATAAACATTGTTGCACTCCATCACCATCCTCTGGCAGTATTTACTCACACATCAAATCTTGGCAGCTTTAGTGAACATCAATGTTCTCATTATATTCTCATGTCTTATCCCTCTTTACATCCATTATTTAAACAAAGTTTACTGATTTTTATAGAAAAGGTGTTTTTCATCTTGCAGATATGAAGTTTGGTAAGGTAAAGGGTTGAGATTTAAGAAATATAGAGAGTTATTCAAAGACATATTCTGTAAGATGACATATCATAGATATAAAGATAGTATTTTGTCTTATAGTTATATTTTTATATACGCAATATAGTCATTTTTCATGTTTATCTACAACAGTTCTTTTAAAAAATGCCCCTCCGTGTCATTTGTACAAAACGTATAAGAAAACATCACATTAACATAATAATTGCGTATCACCATTCAGCTTGAAAATATTAAGAAATGATTCTTGGTCCTCATCACCCAGCTATAAAATGAATCACTGAAATGGTCCTGGAGGCTTCCCTTACTGAAAGAACAGCAATAATTGCACTAATTATATGTTTAGTTTCGAACTAAAAGTGTACATTCCCCATGTAAACATAGTGTACCATTCTCCCAATTAAAAACACAGTGGAGGTGGCATTATTATGTGTACAGTTCTTCAGCAGGGACAGAGAAAGTGCTTAGAGTTGATGTAAATGTGGATCCAGCGTAATAAAGGCGCCAGCCATCCTCCTTAGATATTTTTCCATTTATTTTGTAATTATTCTCTGTGCACCATGGAATAAAGTTTACTCTGTTCGTAAACACCAGTTAAGTTTGATGGCCAAGTGTTTTCTGTGAATATATCAAGGCTCTTTTCTGTCTTAGTTACTGTACATTAAAAGCAAAAATAAGGGTAATAAAGTAACTAAGACAGGTGCTTTCTTAGGTACACAAATATTTCTATGATAGAATATTGATTTATCAATCAGAAATATTCCTTGGTAAAAATATAAATGTTCTTATCTCTGTCAACTGCCTGTGCTGAATTTCTAAACTTCAATCTAAAGGATTTGATTAAGATCTTTTGACTGGATTGCATATCTTCTTTTAGTTTTAGAGTATTAAGTTGATTGAACTGTCTTCTGTTTGAGTTTAGGTGGTGTGACTCCATCAGAGAGAGGCCTGGCATGGCGTTTCCTGTTTGGCATGTACCCATGCAGCTCCACTGCACTGGAGCGGTCTTTCCTGCAGGAGCAATTGTTGGTGCGTTATCGGGTCATGAAAAAGAAGTGGCAGCAGTTTCTCCCCTCAACGGTTCGGCTACAGCTCAACGGTACTGATGGTAAGGATCCCAACATGTGCCAAAGGTGGTCTTTTTTCTTCACATTCTGGCTATTTTTGACCCAATCCATCCCACCTCCAACCCTTGTTTTCTTTCTGTTGGTTAAACCCTTGTGCTGATGCAACCCAGCTGAGTTGTTTGCAGCTGTCCGGTACTTTGACGAGAGGGAGGCCCAAACCCTGCAGGAGGCCCAGGATCAGTCTGAGGAAGTAAAGGACAGACTCGCCTTCTTAGAGCTTCAAGCGCAGGTGAATTAAATTTTTATTTATATTTCTACCTTTCATCTATTCTAGTTTCAGCTTTAAGCTGAAATATGTTCTACTGTCGTTCTTAATAACCCTCACAGTTTGAAAAAGTTTAAGCTCTTTTATCCTTGGAGAAGAATACTTTATCTAGTAACCAAACAGGATCTAATCTACTTAAACAAACTGTCATTATTTACTCTGTGTTATTTAGCTTCTGCTGTAGCCTGAAGGTGAGGTAGCTTTAGCTAAGAGGGTTCTATCGTCTCATGCCACAGCTTTTAGTCCTCTACTCTTTTCTATATGAAGGAGTTTGCAGAAACGAACATAATTTTTGCCAAACAACCACCTGAAATCACACAATTTCTGAAAGATGGCAGCTAGATAACAACAGTGTTTGGAGTAATGGCTTTAACATCTGTTCAATTTTTCATAATCATGACATGTTTTTTTCTCTTGAAAGATACTTTTTGAACGTGTGAAGTTTGACCTGGAGGAGCTGCGAGAAGCCATACGAATTATTGACAAAGATGTGCCTCGCACCAACAGAGACCTGAGCTACTACCAGTGAGCATTTCTCAGTAATTGCTGTTCTTTGCCTTTATGGAAATCTACATTTTGGGAACCTGAACACAAAATGTGTTCCACATTTATTATTAAGTGGTAAAGGCAAAAATAACAGAAAGATAAAGGGATACTGCTGCCATTTCAAACTGACATGTACAGCTGTTCATCCCTACTTTTTAGTGGTTTAGTAACAGTAAACCACTTAACCCACTTCCACCTTATATATAAAATATTTGCATCTTTTATAACTTAGTATTACATCCTCCTACATTGAAGTTTAAATTAAGAGAGAAACTACATTCAGTAATTCATGAACTTAGTTCCTTTAATGATAAACCTTACTTTTCTTAATTTGGTAACAATTAGTTGGTTCTGAATCCTATATAAAGCGAAATTTACAAAAAGTTAAAAAGAACTGTAATTCCAAACTTTTGATTATTTTGTTTTGATTTATTGTAGTTGGGAGTAGGCATCAATATTAATACATAGAATATGATTTTCGTCAGTTTGTCCCTTTGAAAGTTGATGTAATTTCGAAAAAAATAAATAAATGTAAAAATAAAAAAGAGACGAATAGCAACATTATCTTAATTTGTAATTGCATATTGCCCATGATAAAATGCATAATAACTGTCAATATTCCAATTACTGGACATTGTATATTTCAAAGGATTTAACTTTGCTTTTTAATCACGAATTTTCCCAAAACTCAATGGCTTATATTCAGACTAGGGCTGCAACTAACGATCATTTTGCTGTTGATTATTTTTTTCAATTTATCCATTAAATATCAGATAGTTAATTAAAGAATATTTTTTACAGAATTTAAATGAGAGGAAACTAAAACTTTTCCAGCAGTTCAGGGTAGAGCATATTGAGGGAGATTTATTTATTTATATTATATATGTATTTATATATGTTTATTTGGTATTTTTAATTTAATTTTTTTTACAATTTGGTATAATTACGAGTGGTTTGCTCTGTCAGCTAAAGGCATGTTTTAGAGTCTCTATACTCAGTTAACAATTAATCGATTACAAAATTAGTTGACGATTATTTCAATAATCGATTATTCCCGATCAATCCGATTAATTGTTTTAGTACTAATTCAGACATTATGCTGTTAAAGGTTCACATTTTCTTACAATTCGTAATATGTTTAAATCTGCATTAACATTAACATTTAAGGCTCACGTTTTCATGATCTTTCAGATTTAACTAAATTTGCGAAATAAATGTTTTTATTCCATTTATCAGCATATACAGGTTTGAAAGGATGAATAAAAAAAAGTTCTGTTTTAATTAAGTGTATTATTGCCCTTTATTAAATGCTGGGCAGTCTTTCTGATTATGCTATGTTTCTCAGGCTTCATCCTAACTGATAGAAGCTGTTACCGCCATGTTTATTTACACCTCATGCTACCTCTACCTGATAAGTTATGTTAACTTGTTGTTTACTTAAAACTTTGATCAATTATTCCTTATTTCTGTGTTTGTCTCAGCAGTCATATCTGTTTGTGGTTTCAAATATTTTTTATATCATAGATAAATAAATGAAAATTCCTAAACTCATATCTTCATTTAACTTTTACATTTTAATACAAACATTTAATGATAGAGAAAAATAGTCCTGAACATTTCAAAGGTTTTCAACAAGTTACTTTTTTTGTTGGCAGAGAGGAAGGTTTAGGCAATCTTTTGGTGCTAAGAAACATCCTCATCACTTATGCTGCTTTTCATCCAGGTAATAAGACAGAATCTGTCCACCAGAAAGATTATTGCTGATCAAATAACTTTTTGGCTCCTTGCTGTTACTGCAGAGGTTGGCTATGCCCAGGGAATGAATGACCTGTGCAGTCGATTCTTGGAGGTCCTAGACTGTGAGGTGGACACCTTCTGGAGTTTTTCCTGCTACATGGAAAAGTTCTCCAGAGACTTCATGGCCGATGGCCTGCACAGAAAAATAGGTGAGGCGAACAAAAAGAAAAGTGATTTTGTTTGCATCAATCATCTTTGTACCAGTGTATTTAGTTTGTTTAGTTATAAAGTTTTCCTCTGCCTTTACCATTGAACTTGTTTTAGATTCTATCAATTAGGATCATTTTTGTTGTTAGTCTTTTGCAAAACATCAAATTTAATATTTAAATTGTGAACAACCACCTTTGCACATTTTACACTGAGCATAATGCAACATATGTCAGAAGCTTACATACTGTAGAACATAGGACCCAGAATTCCAGCAGACAGATCAGGTTAATTACAAAACAAGTGTTTATTATTGAACTCACATGTGGCTGCTCTTGGGAATGGCAGGTTATATGGATACTCTGGTAAAGTTCAATCTGAGCCCAGAAGACAGAGTGAAGTTGGGAGGGATTGTATCTCTGTAGCTTGTGGTGGAAGCAGCTTCCAGAGGTTCAGGAGCAAAGCAGAGCAGCAACAGGCAGAAGCCAGAGCAGGCAGGAGGAGCAGAAGAGTCCGGAGTGATTATCTGAAGGCAGAATTGAAGCAGGAACAGGTTTCCTAGGAACTCCCAAACCTCATTATACAAACAGGCACTCAACGTATTAAACAATAAATTCTTTATTGACCTTCATTGTAATTGAATCCTTTCACTTTTTGAAAAAAGAACTTTGTTAATTTCAAATAATATGTGAGGAAATCTACCAGAGGAGCTGCCGTAAGAGAATTTATATTTCCACTTAGAAAGGAAATATTTGGTCAGTCTGTTTTTCTTTCAAAGTGTCACATTAGTGTACTTGTATAAAATGGCGTCATGGTGGACATTTTTCTGTCACAGCTGGTAAAATCAGAAAACAACTCAAGATCAGATTCCGTTCAGGACTCATTAACAACTTTCTTGGCGAATAAATTGCATTTTAATGCATTGAATTTGTGTTTATTACGATTAAATGGTTTTAGCTTATGATTTTTGAAATTTATTTAACTGAAGTATTGCTTACACTCATGCTGTGTCGCTGTTTGCATTTGGAAGAAAAAGGAATTTCCTTTTTCTTGATATTCTAGTAGGAGACTCTGGGGAGGGTTAGGCAAAACTTGCTGTTGATCAGTTTATCCAAATAATATTGGTTGTTCTTCAACCACACTGAGCTGTCACTTTCCCATGAGACATTGCAGGATTGCCACCATCCAGCTTGCTGATAGTTCTGCATTATTGATGGTAGGTGGCGCCATGTCTGTTTATGCCAGCTCATTTCTCTCAGTGATGGAATTCTACTTAGGTGTAAAAAGGTCCATCTAAATACTATCAGAACAGACACTTGGCTCTCATTGCATCACTATGAAAAGGTTTTTGGTCTTTTTTGTGTAGGCATAGAGAGTCACTATGCTTCTTTATGCTACAAGACAGCGACCGATATGGACACATGGATTATTAATGATGTAGCTCAGAGGTCACGGATTAGCGGACCTGGGTCCATATCCGCCCCCCTGCTGGTCAATCCAGACCCAACCTGATTAAAACATTTATAAAATACTGCATGTTGTTTCGAAGACAGTGTCTAACTTCGCCTGCGCCGCTTCTCCTGTTAACATGGTAAAGCCCCCCCCCCCCCGAAGCGTCCGGCATCAGGCTGCACATGAGGCAAACCTGTGGCAAGCCTTGGCTCAACCTGCGGCTGTGAGGCAGGATGCCCCGCTATGACCATAATCAAAAAGAAATATTGATCCGGGCTCACGAATGAGCACCTTGATATGTGCTTGAGAATGGCTTTGTTACCAATCAAACCCAGTTTTAAAGCCTTGGAGGGCAGCGGAAAGGCCACTTCTCTCATTAAGCCATAAAATATGTTTTCTAAAATATGTAAATATTTATTTATA